AACAAAACCTGAAACTTGAAGGCTTGAAAAACATCTGGAATCAACTAAAGATGCTCAGCCTAAGCAGACTTAGCAGTCCCTGTATTTCCTCTGTCTCTGCAGGTTTGTGAGCATTGTAATTAACACAAACGTCTTTGGGACTGTGCACCAACCCAGTGTGAGTGTGAGTGATCCATTGAGTGTCTACCATCAGTCAATATCAGACCCCTAACTATAACCCTTAGGTGGCCTAAAATTGCCCCAGGAGGTTGTCCTTACCTCATTCAGCAGAGGTCATTTTGTCTTTATGATATAGTCATAAAATCTTGGCCTTTGTCATACAAAAAGGAGTATTTAATTAAATAAGGTGATAAGTTCAAAGACATTGTGATATATATTTGTGTGTCATCTGCATAGCTGTGATAGTTTATTTTGTTGTTGTTTATAATCTGTGCCAGTGGGAGCATGTAGATGTTAAACAGAAGGGGTCCCAAGATGGAACCTTGGGGAACTCCACATGTGATACTTGTCTGCTCAGATGTGAAGTTACCTATTGATACAAAGTATTTCCTGTTTTCTACGTATGTTTTGAACCAGTTTAGTACAGTTCCTGAAAGACCTGTCCAGTTCTCCAGTCGTTTGAGTAATATGTTGTGGTCAACTGTATCAAATGCTGCACTGAGATCCAGTAAAACTAGGACTGACATTTTTCCACTGTCTGTATTCAGACATATGTCATTAAACACTTTGGTCAGAGCGGTTTCAGTGCTGTGGTTCTGTCTAAAACCTGACTGGAAGGCATCGTAGCAATTATTCTGTTTTAAGAAGTAACTGAGCTGTTGAGAAACTGCTTTTTCAATGATCTTACTTAAAAACGGGAGATTTGAGATCGGCCTGTAGTTGTTCATTTGTGTCTTGTCAAGATTGTCCTTTTTCAGTATAGGTTTGATTACAGCAGTTTTTAGTGATTCTGGAAACACACCTGATAATAAAGAAAAGTTGACGATCTGTAACAGGTCTGACTCTAAAGTCTTTGAGACCTTTTTGAAAAAACTTGTTGGCAGGACATCTAAACAGCAGGAGGAGGAGTTCAGTTGACCTAAGATGTCCTCCAGGTCTTTGCTGTTAATAGGTTGAAACTGTTTCATGGTGTTTAAACAGTTTTTTGGTGGACACAGTACATATCCTGGATCTGCTGTTGATGTACCAATTGCTTGTCTAATTTTTTGGATTTTTTCAGTGAAGAATTTGGCAAAGTCATTGCAGGCCATGGTTGGATGAAGTTCAGCTGCCACTGGCACAGGAGGGTTTGTTAGCCTGTCAACTGTAGAAAATAAGACCCGAGCATTATGGCTGTTTTTAGTGATGATGTCAGAGAAGTAGGACCTTCTTGCATTCCTCAGTTGTAAATTATAATTGTGAAGTTTCTCTTTATAAATGTCATAATGAACCTGGAGGTTTGTTTTTCTCCATCTGCGCTCAGCTTTCCTACACTCTCTTTTTTCATTTTTCACCAGTGTGGAGTTTCTCCATGGAGACTTTTTCCTTCCAGAGATAACCTTCACCTTAATGGGAGCAATAGTGTCCATTACATTTAACATGTTAGCATTGAAGCTATTGACGAGCTCATTGACTGACCCTCTGGACAGGTCAGGTGTTAATGGGAAGACCTGGTTAAAAATTGCACTACTGTGTTCAGTTATACACCGTTTTGTTATCACTGTTGTTGATATATTTGTGTGGGCTGAGATTTTACTTTCAAAGAAAACACAGTAATGATCAGACAGGCCCACATCAGACACAGTAACCTTTGAAATGCTCAGGCTCTTGGAGATCAGTAGGTCGAGAGTGTGTCCTCTATTATGTGTGGCCTCTGTTACATGCTGAGTCAGCCCAAAGTTGCCCAGAGTGTTACTCAGGTCTTTAGTCCCTTTGTCCTGAGGGTTGTCCACATGAATGTTAAAATCCCCAGCAATAATTACACAGTCAAAATCAACACAGATCACAGACAGCAGTTCACTGAGGTCATTAAAAAAGTCTGTGCAGTATTTGGGAGGCCTGTAAACATTAAGAAACACAACTTTGGATGGGGCCTTCAGCTGTAAAGCCACATATTCAAAAGACTGAAAACTTCCAGGAGATAGCTGCTTACATTGAAATGATTCAGGACCAAAATACATCAATGACCTCCTGACCCAGTATGAACCATCCAGATCCCTCAGGTCATCTGGATCCGGTCTTTTATCAGTTCCCAGAGTCAGAACCAGACACGGAGAAGCTGCATTCAGCTTTTATGCTCCTTATATCTGGAACAAACTCCCAGAAAGCCTCAGATCAGCTGAAACACTCAGTTTATTTAAATCCAGGTTGAAGACTCACCTGTTCTCAGCTGCATTTGAATAAAGCACCAAATCCACACTTTAAGCTTAAATTTCAAAACTTACATTTAACTACTGATTTTATCTACTGTTCTGATTTTATCTGTTTTGATTTTATATACTGTTGTTTGTTTGTTTGTTTGTTTGTTTGTTAATTAGTTAGTTAGTTTATTTGCTTGTTTTAATCAATTTTAAATCATGCTTTTTATTTGTTCTTGTTTCTAATGTCTCTGTAAAGCACTTTGAATCACCTTGTTGTTGAATTGTGCTATACAAATAAACTTGCCTTGCCTTGCCTTGCCTATATAGTAACTATTAAGTCTAATATACCCTAGTAAGCTATAGTACTTTTTCCTTTGGGAAGGTACCATCAGTCTGCAATTTTGTTGAAGAAAGATGTTGAATCTATTTAATATTTCTTGAGAAATAATTGATTTCTGTGCATTTTTTTTCACACTGCATCAAATTAAGGTTGATTACGTCGATTAAGCATCATGAGGTGGAGCGTGAGGGGTGGTTCCCTATTTTTTATTTATTTATTTTTGTTGTTGCTGGGAGTTGGAACCCTATTAGTTAGGTTGCTTAATATTTACGCTAAGTACTCTTTAAAATACCAGAATAGGGAGGATGGTGCAGGTTTAAGTTTATTAGATTGATCAGTATTGCTGAACTATGAAATATTTTTTTTTGCATACAGGTATAACAGAATAGCTTTAGTGTAGTTGTTGTTTTAAACTTGAGTATGAACATATACAAAATGCAGCAAGATATTAAAAAACAGTTTTGTTGATTAAAAAACATTATATCGGATTCATATCGGTATCGGCAGATATCCAAATTTATGATATCGGAATCGGTATCGGACATAAAAAAGTGGTATCGTGCCATCTCTAGTTGAAATGTGAACCTTTATGAACTTTCTTTGAAAAATGTGCATGAATAAAAACCTAATGTGATTCTCTGGGACACAGCCGGGTGAAGAACAGAGCAACACCTAAGTTTATTGTGAGAAAAGGTGTTATTTTGCTCCCACATGTAAATCGTGTAAATCCCTCTTGGACGCCTAAACGTTCTCCCATGCGCATCGAGAACAAGATCAAAGGCTGTCTGTGGGTTCTGCCTGCTTTATGGGCTCTCTGTGTGTACGTGTGCTTTTAAACATGTGTCTTTGTGTTTGTAAGTCTATGTTCAGGTACAATATTACATGTCATTCATGCTAAGGGAGTTGTGTTAAGTTAAGTGGGAAGGAACAGGGAGTTGTTCCGACGCTCCGGTGACAAAAACAAAGGCAATGACGGCTCTGGCTCTCTTATCGGAAACACACCAGGCCCGTTGGAGGGCATGGTGTCATGTGACTGTAGCTGTGAATGTGCTTTTCTGGGGTGTTGATGAAGACCTTGAGACTATAAAATTGAATAAAGTAATTTCCGACTTTAACAAAGTAAAAGCTGCACACAGACTTTCCTTTGTTGTGCACCCAAGGAAAACCTGTGAGTGAATGAACTAGTTAGGTTAAGAGTAGCTATTTCTACAGGTACTGGATTGATTGCCATGAAATTTCTAAAAGGCATTCATGGCCCCAACAGGCTGGATCTCTTTGTTGATGCATTAACTTATAATCCTGCAGTCGGCTCTACCGCCATGCAAGCCGCTCTTGAAGCTGCTCATGGTGGGTATCTGAACTTTCTTAATGTTTACCGTCTTCACCATCCATCGTTTGTATCCTGTTGATTTATGTTGACATTTCTTATTAGCAGCAAATGAAAATAAAATGAGTAATAAACCACCATACAAATTTAAACATTAATATCTGTACCCAGTCTAGATCTTAAAACCAATATTTTCAGTCTCATGTTTTACCAGTTTTCCAATCTGCCCCAGGGCTGGTGATGTGAGCAAACCCTGGCGTTATAGTTTCTGGATATAATAACTGGAAGTATATAGGAATGAAAGTTGGATGCAATGTCCATTTTTTCTTTAGGTCTATGAGAAACTGACCCTACTGCTCAGTTGATACACGGCCCCAGTAAACACTTTCCTGACGTGTCCCAGTGGCCATGCTTATTTAATACATGCTCGTATTTCAGACTAGGGGGCGTATGCTTTTTTGCACTGGACCTGCCCAATGGGTCCTGTTAAAATGACTACAGATTTTATATACAGTCTATTGTTTTTAGGCATTTGCAAATTATCAGTGGCAATTGCACATGCAAGCTCACAGTGTAAGGATCCCACAGTATTCCCACTCTTCCTGTTGATGCTTCACGTCTCTTTGCATTTGAAACACGTACATACCTGTAGGAATTCACGTGCTGTGTAGGCAGTTTTTAATGTATGTTTCCACCTCGAGGTACAACAGATCATCATCAGCAAAAATGTAAAGAAAAGAGACAAAGAGACTGACATGTGGATAAAATATGATTGCTTCTCTCCTCAACACCAGCTTTAGATGAGAACTGCTTCACACGGCTTCTTCATTAATATTGATCTAAACAGAATTGGCAGTAAAAATTTGAATTCTGAACTCAAATCTCAAGTTAATGCAAACATCTCTCATTCATCCACTCATGACAAAGCAGCAGAATCGCTGCATACTTGAGTAGATGATCATTAATAGCCGATAACCCTGCCTGTGTGTTCCAGCCCTCTCTGTTTCGAGCTCTGTGCTGGAGGATGGCCCCCCAGTGCAGCTCCCCCATATGGCTCACCGGCGAGAGAAACGCTGCTCCTGCGAGAACCAGAAAGACAAAGAGTGCATTTTTTTCTGTCACATTGGCATCGTCTGGATCAACACCCCGAGGTGAGTCTGCGAGAGAACAAAATTAACCCTTGTGTGGTGTTCGTATTTTTGTTACACAGCCAGTGTTCATGGGTCTGGTGGACCCGCTAGAGTTTTGGCTTTCCAAATTAACACTATCAAACAATTTTATGTTAAATTACTCAACAGATGTTTACTTCATCCCAATTACAAGACATATGAACAGCAAACATGGTTAATTTTTTCCCTTTACCTTTGTTAGATCACATTTATGAATTAATGTGCTTCTCGTTTTTCTTTTATATAAAATGTTATAAATAAATCAGTTATAATCAAGTGGAGTGAGTGGAAAGACACAACACATTTACACGTGAAAAAATAATTAATTGTTTAATTTTTCTTTTGAAAAAACTGAACACGGGTCTCACAGACCCGAACACCATACAAGGGTTAAACATTTTATGGCTTTGTTTCCTCTGTAATGAAACATTGGAGTGTTGCGATAAAGTTTACTGCCGTAAATGTGATGACAAAACAAAACCGAGAAAAGAAGTTGTCTATAATCTGTCCAAAGGATAAACAAAGCTCTGTGCGTGCAGCTTTAGCAGGGCCGTGGGTGGGAGGCTTCTGCAGCAGCTTCAGTCCATGAATAAGATTAACTTTCACTGTTTTGTCAAGGCAGTGATTTTCTGAATTTTCAGTGATTTTCCCCTTATTCTGCCTCAGACCAAAGACATGCACAGTAGCACATTAGCTTCACTGCTGAGTCTGAAGCAGATAAAGTGGTGACATGGAGCAACCATTCACCAACCATTCAGAGACTTGAATGGTTGGTGAGGCTAGAAATTTTCTCTACATTTCTCATTTCATTTCCATATTTCTCCTTAAGAGAGTCAGACTCTGCAGCACCCGTCCTACTGAGCATACATGTGTACACTCAACCACTTATCCACATCAGGGTCATGTGAGGAAAAACTCCCTTTAAACAGGAAGAAAATTCCAGCAGAACCAGGCTCTGGGAGCGGCAGCCATCTGCCGCGACCAGTTGCTGTGAGAGAAGGAAGACAGAATAAAAGACATACTGTGGAAGAGAGCTAGAGATTAATAACAGTATGATTCAGTGCATAGACGTCTATTAACACATAGTGAGAGAAGAAAAAACACACAGTGTATCATTGGAATCCCCCGGCAGCCTACACGTATTGCAGCATAACTAAGGGAGGATTCAGGGTCACCTGGTCCAGCCCTAATGATTCAGCAAAAAGGAAAGTTTGAAGCCTAATCTTGAAAGTAGAGATAGTGTCTGTGTCCTGAATACAAACTGGAAGCTGGTTCCACAGAAGAGGGGCCTGAAAACTGAAGGCTCTCCCTCCCATTCTACTTTTAAATTCTCTAGAAACAACAAGTGTGATGGTACTACAAGGTCATTAAGATAAAATGGGGCCTGATTATTTGAGCTTTAATACTAATACTACATTTCTTTAACTCTGTGAAGAGACAAGTGAGTAACAAAGGTTCCCTGAAACAGCCATGTCGGGTTGACTTGAATGTCTTTTCTAGTCCAGTTGTTCATATTTTTTAAAATGGCTGGCCTCAAATAAGAAGTAGGCGTGCAGCTCCCTTCACAATTGGTAGCAATTAACTTCATTTTAGTTCAGTATGCACAAGCAACGAGTAACCGCTTAGATGTGGTGGAGCTAATGAGAAAGCACACCTTTCCTAAAGAAGGGTTGTTTCTGCTCAGTTTCCTCTCCGTGTTTCAAAAGAGCTTTTTTTTAACCCTTTAACACCAACTCAACAGAGAGTCTGAAATCATGGTCGGACCTTTATCTGCCCACAGCTGCTTAACTCCTCACAGCCTGCTCCCGTTTGTGTGTTGACATTTCATCCTCAACTGTTTCTAGAAATGAGACGCAGTTATAATAATAATAACTCAATTTACCCCTGTTCAAAATAATGAGATGAAAAGATTTAAAGGTAAAAATGTGGAAGATAGTGTAGAAATCTTAGAATAAAATAATAATAAAATGGAAAAAGTAGTCTGGTTTGAGCTTTACTATATGTATTTACAGCATCATCCCTTTTGATAAAGTGCAATTATGCTGTTCAGTGTTTCCCTGAATTGGTTACTGCACTGTAAGCTGTTTCATGTCATGCCAGTAAGTCACACTCCAAATTAATTGGTGTAGAAAAAGACAAGTCACCAAAATAGCTTCCAGAGGTTAGCCAAAAACGGCTCCAGTGGTGGTGGGACCGTCTCAGACTGTTAGCTCACTCTAAATATAGCCATGTGGTAAAATGCAATCTTCCTGCTTTCACTATAAAGACGCTTTAAAGAGCACTGCCAGCACCCGCTGTCACTAATGATGCCACTAAAGAGCGTTGGGGAGTCCCGAGTGCATTTCCTTTTTCTTCACACACAGCGTCATTTAAAATATGTAACCTTGCTAACATGTACGCAACAGAGTGAACAACATGTTTTATTCTTGCAAATAACCACATCTGTAGACCTAAACAAAATTATCCATTTGAGAACAGCGCTTGAAGGTTCACACTGTCGGTAGGAGAGCAACAGACAGAAGATCAGAACAAGCTGAAATAATGTTGGGTTTTTTTCTACTCGTGTTGTATTGTTTAAAGAGAAAATATCGAGTAACACCAGTGTAACCTTTAAAGGACATCCTTTGGCTCCCTGCTATTTTACACCAGAAGAAAACAGAAATCTCGGAGTACTTGAAGCACAAAGGCTGTTTTTAAAGTCCGATTTTCACCTTCGCAAGTGTTCAAACAAACAGTGAAGTCAGTGAGGAGTTTCCCTCTCAGTTACAGATGGATGTGTCTGATCATCCAAAAAGGCAGTGATCCAAACTAAAGAGAGAGACGCCAGGATCAGAACCACCTTCAGTGAACTCAAACAAACGCAATTTATTTAACATATGCTCATTTTTGGACTCATTTATTTGACAGCAAGACAACAGAAAACATATTATTATTTTGGCACTGTCACTGACAATATGAGCCAATAATTAACTGTCAAACTCAGTGCCTGCCGGCATGACATGCTGTCAGGGATGGCGTGGTCATATTTTAATGGGAGGACACAGTGTGAGATATGAGTTGTGCTGCTGAATAGACTTTATTCAAAAGTTTTAAAAAAGTCCAAATGTAACGTGTTATCAGCCGCCCCTCCACACGCGTGACCTGTAGGCATATACCGCGGAGAAAACAGAAAATTGTGCTATGGGAATGATTTGGTTTGATGTAGACACCAAATGAGTAAAACATAATCGTTTGGTGAAAGTTTCAGGGATTGATGTTTGTGTCACATCTGGCGAGGCAGACGGTGAGGCGTGGGGAGACTGGGGACCCAAGTGCAGGCAAATGGAAATAAGGGTGGAATGATAACAAAAAATGAGCCTTTATTGTCAGCTGTACAAATCCTAAAGAACTGAGGGAGCTATAAATACTGAAACAGAAACCAACAAACTAGCAGTGATAAATCATGATGAAATCAAAGATTAACAATAACACAAAACACTGGGTCACCGACCCAGGACCGTGACAGTTTGAAGCCCAAAGTTTTGTCCACACCAGCCTCCTATCCACTCGAACATCACATTATATCCTTCTTTGCTTCTGTCGTGATCTCTGCACAACACAACAGGCCAGATGCACAACATCTGAATGAGAGGATATTTGTTTTTATATTTCTTCCTGTTAAATCACTCTCAGTACCTCCAGTATCATAAAGGATTTATCTTCCTCCAGGTCTAATGCTGCAAGAACTCTGGTCGTGTAGCTTCGTGTAGACAAGAAGAAAGTAAAGGTTCACTCTCAGTCATTTCCAGTGTTGGGACTAACGCGTTATTAAGTAACGCGTTACAGTAACTACGTTATTATTGTGGTAACGAGCACGGTAACTAGTTATTATGCCAAAACCGGGAACGCGTTACTCGTTACTGGGATTTAGATAGGCTCGTTATCTGTTACTTCGTGTGGTGGCTATCGCGGAGCTTCCACAGATTCAATAACATTAACAAGTGGTGGAGGCCAGCAGGTGGATGAAGGAAAAGGGAGGCAAGAGGAGAGACCCGAAGCGGCCGCTGGTCCGAGTGTCAGGTGAACTGAACACAAGAAGTTATAACCTGCAGTCCATCTGGGTCAGATATGAACCAAGTTTAGGTGGAGTTTATTTTCGTTATGCTGACTTTTTCGTACTGGGTGCTAGCTAGCATGACGGAGTTTCTATACAGCTGGGTGGGTGCTATGTTACTGATGTTGAACTTTATTTTGTTCATAAGGTTAATTATTAGAGTTGCCAACCATTCCGTAAAAAACAGAATCGTCTCGTATTCAGAGAAAATATTACGCGTTTCTTATTGAGGTGAAAAGGAACAGTTTGTCCCGGACACAAAGCTGAAGTTATTCTGTGTCTCTGCTGCACAGCTGCCTCTTCTTCTCTCATCCTCTCACCCTCCCTCTCCTGTTTCTACTTCAATCATGAAACTGATCAATGATCAGCTGATTGGCTTTTCTCTCTTGTTTATTTATCGCCCACTTTGCGCCAGAAAGAGGAAACCAGCCGATGTCGCGGTAAACAACGGCAGCACTTTTAAGCTTGATCAGCTGTTGTTAGAATTTATTTAATATTAATTTCTAGTATCAGCTGATGTTGGCTGGAGCCACAGCTGTAAAGCTGCTGGTCATGATATCAGTTTGGTTATCTGGTGAGAGGGAAACATGAAGATGAAACCAGGAGATGTCCTTACTGAATCACCAGAGCTGTGATGGAGAAACATGTTTACCTTTTAGTTAACATGAATGAGTTGAAGGGAAGTTATGAACTGTTTCTGAGAGACAAATAACACCAGGATCCTTTTCTAAGTAGCTGACAGCTGGTAACTGTGCAGGGGCGGGTCTAGCAAAGTGTTGCCAGGGGTCCATGTAGGGCATTAAAAGGGAAAGGGGGGCACAAGGAAATACTTTCTTATTCTCATTTAAAATGTCTCACTTTTTAAAAAATAATTATCTTACAACAAACA